AGCTTCCGTTAAATCTTTATCAAGCTTCTCTGTGACTTCGTAGAGTCTAGCTTCCGTTAAAATATTTTGAGAATAATTTGTTACTATTAGTAGGTTATAGAGTGAGTAGCCCCTGATACGCCAAATGTTTACAGTAGGTTTTAGTACTTGTTCTTTGCTTGCACATTCATATCTGTGTCTTAACTCAAGTAATAAACAGGTTAACTCTTTCATTGTGTGAAGTTATGTATAAAATGACGTCACGTCGACAATACAATGACGTCACGTTAACAATCCATCAACGTCACGTCAACCCTGAATTTAGCCTGTAACTTTAACATTATATTATGTATATGATACAAAATGGGTGAACAGGGTAAGAGGAAAAGAATCATTCACCCCCTTGAGGGTGAGATGGGGAATCTCAACCCTCGGGAAAAGATTCTTAAGTTGCTAAACACTCGACAAAGCCTCGTATTTGTCAACTTAAGAGTCTTCCCCCAAGTCGTCGTCGTAGGCATGGAATATCAGAGAAAGTGTTTTTACTCCTGCCCACACAACTCCAACAACCCAGGTGGAGTATACAATGTTCTAGGGTGGATGTTGCCGTATTTGTGCTGTAGCATTCAAGTGAGGTGGCACTATAAATGATACTGTTGGCAGCACGGTCCCACTACACAGAGAACAGTAGGGGTGGGATCATAACCACTGACTCAAAAGTAAGGGGGGTTGGGGGAGAACAGAAACAATACAAAATAAGCTGAAAAATCTATTGAAAACCGATGTGTATTGCTAAAACTGTGGATAATATTTTCAATAGCGATGGTTATAGTGATAAAGGGGTATAAAATTATATAATTATATAATTACATATTTATAGACATCATGTGAACAGCTTGCTTCCTGGTTGGTCATGTTTTACATAACTTTTAACTGTGTTTAATTCATAAACTTGACACAAATGATCACATATGTCATTGAAGAATTCATTGTGACTTACATCTTTCGTTATAAAACAGTTTCAGAGTTACAACATGTTTTAGAATGATGATGGCGACAGCTTTTGTTTTCAACGTTTTGAAACTATAAAATATGACAAAGAGAACGGTTATTCATTGTTTTCAAGGTAGGAGCATACTCTATGTCAAACCTCTTTCACTCAGCCTTAAATTTATTCTCACTTTTTATCCAATAAATTATAATAAAAAAACACATTTCTATCGAAGAGATCATTCATCATAACTTCCTGAGTAAAATTTAAAAATACTGTGACATGAATCATTTCTAGTTTGTGTATATAGAATTTTCTTTGAACCCTTTACAAGGTCAAGGTTGCAAGGAATATATATTCACTTAATAATTAACCCTTTCACCCCTATGTATCTTTAGTAAACTCTACCACTTATTGAACTGGATAAGTCCATTATGGTTTACAGGAGTGAGAGAGTTAACCAACCTGTGTATGTGTGTGTCAATCATGGGGTCACTTTTTCGGGGGCATGTCTCATACGTTCAGTACATATTGGTATAGCATAAGGTTGTATTCAGAAATTGTATCTTCCTTATTATATAAAAAATAAAAGCCATTGATTTGTTTTCTTTCTACCGAAGTGTGTTTGGAGGTCGGGGATAATGGATTGATTGACTGTTTCCTTACATAACTATAAACAATGAAACATCATTACCAAACATCTACAATCAGTTATGATCCTGATACACAGGGATCAAGATTACCTGTATAAATTTGTACATTTCATTGTCTAGAGTGGGTCTCTTTAGACAAGGTCTGGTTTATACAGGGTGTTTATTTTTCCAAATGATACAGGGTCAGAAAATACATACTAACTCTTGATCTTTATATGAAACTGAGGAGAAAATACTGAATTCATACAAAATCATTTTGATAATAATTCATAAAAGTTAAATAAAATTGATATATGATAACAGTTGCTGTTTGTGTATTTCAGGCAACATCAACCCAGAGACCATGAATAATCATGAGCCGGGTGGGTACCGTCATGGTAGCACAGGAAGTACAGGCAGTTACCGTAGCAGCACCGGCAGTGTTAGTAACCCATCAACACCCACCAACACGCCCCTGGTCATCCCCCAACCGGTCAAACCACCCATTAAGTCAGGGAAAACATACCCCTGTAAGATGTGTGATCAGGTAAGGCACTACTGGAGCTGGTAACCCAGGTCTCTATCTCCTCACTGGTAACCAGGAAACCTGTAACAGCCTCACAGGTAATTGTGGGAACCCCTAAACATGCTGACAGGTAACCAGGGATCCCAAAACAATTTCTCAGGTAACCGGGAATCCCTAAACAACCTCACAGGTAACTGTGGGAACCCCAAAACATGCTGACGGGTAACGTGAGGAATCCCTAAACAACCTCACAGGTAACTGTGGGAACCCAAAAATATGCCGACAGGTTACCAGCTGGGATCCCCAAACAAACTTATAGGTCACAAGACATTCCAAATACACTCATAGGTAACTAGGAATCCCAAATTAATCGTCACAGGTAACTATTAATCCTAAAACACCCTCACAGGTAACCCTTAGCCCTAAAACACAATAAAATGTGAATCCTCAAACACCGTTGAAATCTATGAAAGTTTCTGGTTCAATTTAGATCTAATTAACACTATGTGTATCCTTTACATAATTTCATTCAGGTGACTGTTAAGACTTACGGGCCTCTTGTCAAAGTACCCATAAACTGTACCTAAGTTTCCTAGGTACCAACTCATTGTACCGAGCTTTCCCTTAAGTATGCAATGAGTGTACCGATATTTTCTTAGTCCCCAATTCATTACAAACATTCTCTAAGCATACATTGATCATATCAACTTTTCCTAACAACTGCATGGGTCTTACGAAGGTAAAAGTTACTACTCGTGAAAAAGTAGGTCAGACAGATATTATTATAAAGGTGATGATACTGTGTCCTAGCCTTTCATTGGTTGTATGAAGAATTTTCTTGCAGCTTTGATCTTGTGTTGTGCTAATACTCTTTCTTCCCTAGTCATCTAAAATGTGTCATGAATGCTGTGAATATAGCCCTGTACACTTCTGTTTTTGACTTGCTTGCTTGCATAATTTATACATAGTTATAGTTTGCTAGACCCTTTTTTTTTTAATATTTTTGCATTATCCTTATTTTTTTCTCAAATATGTTTTTATGAGGTATATCAATATATCGATAAGTTGATAATTAATTTCGTTACCAAAATCTTTCTGTTTAAATATGATAGAATTTCTCTGGGGTTTTTTAACAATCGTATACCTAACTCATTCACCCCTGACATTTCATAATGAACTATTCCAACCTTTGAACTGGAAGAGTTCAAATGTATCTTCAGGGGTGAATGAGTTAAAGACCATATTAGTGTAAAACTAATCAAAATGTGTAATGATAAGCAGTAAGCACTAGAAGCTATAAAATAAGGGTATATGAAAAAATTGAAACTAAACTTTTTTGCCAGATTTTAGTGGTAAGTTTGTATAATGGTAAATACATATGTAAAAAGTTCTAAACACATCCACGTTCTGACACGAAATCAGATTCACAGAAAAGCTGCAGAGTTCATAGGAAAATATAAAACTTAAGTTATTATCACAACCTCCGACTGCTATCCATTGTAACAACACCATGACACCAATTCTCAATATATAACATTTTGTAATGTCACCCCCAATGAAGTCTCGAGAAATTAAACAATACCACAACATCATGGACCCACGACAAAGACAGAACTGCTGGCGTTTTCATTTCAGTTTTCTAGACTAAAGAGACAATAAAAATGGAACTGTATATATATATCCATGGGTGTGATAAAAATATTTTGCACATGTTCGTATTTCACCTGAGATATGTGAAACTCACTGAATCTCATTTCATTAGAATCCTATGCAGTGGAAACTTTTTTTGAGATTCCGTATATTTGAAAGTGTCTTATGTGTACTTTATTTTATTTTTTTTATTTTTCGCGACAGATGCGGTTTGGGTAATTTAGAAAAATAATGATTTAATGACTGTAGATGTGTGTCCTGAATAAACTGATGTCTTCACATTTTTTTACAAACAATGATAATGATTGTTTCAACAAACATCTACAGCAAATATCATTTTGGGGGTTATTCAAAGGTGGGACTAACTATCTCTTTAGTCACTAGCAAAGTTTTAATTGTGAGTAAAAAAAATCTAGCTCCTAAACTACTTTTGTTAATAAATAACTAATTTTTCCCTTGAAAAGTTAACAAATCCCCACAAAATATGGCATTTGTTTAGTTAAAGAATAACCTTAGTTTTAATTATTTCAAAATATGACAGGAAAGTAGCTACTTGCAGAAAATTGCATGTTTTGAATATTTGTAAATGCAAAAGTTAAAAGTCAACCTACAATTAGCATGCTTGCAAGTGTTCACTTAACAGCCTAGAGTTTAAAAACATAAGAGATCTACTTCTAAGGGTTTGGTTAGGGTTTAACACTCTCACAGCAGCCAGGGTCACATGAAGACATTTGATATTCATTTATACGTAGTAATATTATCATTTTCTTACTACATCGGACATAGGAAAAAATTAACACTATCTAAACCTTGTTTTACTTTTAGAAACATGTTTTATTTTACTGGCCACACAATCCCTAAAAAGGATTAAATCAAACACCAGTATATAAGTTTGAAAATTGTGATAAAATAAATTCATGTTGTAAAAAATATATTTTCTAAATTGTGAATGTTAAAAAAGAAGCCAGTCTACTTCAATTGTCTTCCACAGTTACCCCATTCAAAGCAAACGTTCTGCAGCCATTGCCCAGATCCTTTGGTAGAGAATCCTATACAGGTATGTTTTCCTTCTAAGTCCATCTCAAAAACCAATTCTGTAGATTAATCAATTAATGAAGGGCTTTGGATTCTAATACCTCTATTCTAACTCTTAAAATACTAAAACTGTTTTGTTTGATTTTTCTTAAAAACAAAGTTATATGAGATTTTGAAGGAAAGAAATGTTCTAATTAAATTTAGCATACTAACTTAACAAATGAATTTAAATGTAATTCTCATGTTATTATTTACATTTTACTTTAAACATGTAAATTTAAATTAGAATTTATATGATTTTTTAAAGTTTAAATTTCAGAAAAGATTCACATTTAATTACATTTGAAAATTTAAAGTGAATGCCGACCTTTTCAGTATTGTGATCCCCTGAAATTGTAAAAGAATTAATAAAATTACGATTTTAGGAATAAAGATATATAGTTCAGATATGAACTCATTCACCCCTGGAGACACATTTGAACTCCTTTAATTCAAAGGTTGGAATATTTCATTATGAATTTTCAGGGGTGAATGAGTTAACAAGTTGTCACTGACTTCATTCTTTTCCAACCAAAGCAGCCTCGCCTCCTAGGTATATATAATGATATCAAATTAATAATAAGGCAAAATAAAATTGTGACACAAATTATATTGGTCATATTGTTGACACAGATTATTTTAATTATATTTTAGACATAGATTATCCTTATCCTCTAAAAGGTAAACAGATTATCTTGATCCTGTATTAGGTCACATATTATCTTGATTCCCAAAAACAGATTATCTTGATCCTTAGAATAAGCACAGATTATCTTTACCTCTTGTTGACACAGATTATCTTGATCCCCTAAGAGACTATTATAGTTCCTACCCCCTGATAGACAAATTATTTTAAACCTCTAGTAGACACAGAATTTCTTAATCTTAAATTTTCACAAAAATTGAAAAACTGGCACTGGAATATGACAATGTCATTATAATTTTTTTTTTAGTATCTAGTTTTGGTGATGGGTATATAACATGTTTGGTAGAAGGCCAGAATCTGATGTAATTCAATATTCAACAAAATGAATTAAAATGTATGGTATTCATCATTATTGATGAAGGGCATAACAATAAAGGGGAAAAAAACATTCAGATATTTCATTATTTTTTCAGGAAGAGAGAAGTATTTTGAAAATATGTTTTCTGTTGACATTAATTATAAATGTGCATGAAATAATTGAAGTCTAAATAGCAGCATTAAGTTTTGAAATTGCAACGTTTAATTTGGATTTGGATTATATGTACTATTTTTACAAATGTCATTATACATGTGCTCCAGATCATCTATTTTTGACATGCAACACATATAAAAGCGGAAGCTCTGGATTTATATAGAAATAACATATACTATTTTAGAAAAAAATAGTTTCATATGAAAAATGAAATTACCTACAAGCTTGGAAACTTCCTGTTCCATATATATTTTTAATGGCCCTAAATCGTACATCTGTGGCATTTTGTGAATGATTAGCTATTTATTCCATGATATGACAAATTATTTATGTTTCCTGGAGTGATGAAATGTTGGTAATCAAAGGGCAATAACTCTCCACAAAACTATGATAGTTAAACAGAAGTTAATTTCTAATTGGAGAATTATCACTGAAGAATGATTTTTATATACAACACCTGGAGAAAAATCAAAACATATTATGCAGAGTGACAATTGTCAGGTAAGATTGTTTTTTTTACAAAGCCAATTTTTAAAATGTCAATTTCTACTTCATATCACTACCAAAAGGTTTCTTGTCTTCTCATACAGGAAAATAAAATACATTAGGTATGCTCCAGTTTTTAAAAAAAAGTCTAAAATAAGTTTGTTATTGCTAGAAACTAGCTGTTTTAAAAAAAAAAATCTGGGATTTGTGTAAACTGAAAATTTTGAAAACTGAAATAATCATTCTGCAAAATGTTTTATGCAGATGAGGATACATATTTCTTCGTCATTGCATTAGATAGAACAAAAGAAATTTGATAATTATCCTTATAATTTCACTAATGAATAATTAAATACAATTAATTAGGGCCCCGTATCGGAGATATGGGTGCCCTATAGTAATCACTCTGTCTGTCTGTCTGTCCGTCCACAAATTTTGTTCCTGGCTGATAACTTTGGTATTTATTAACCAATGTACATGAAACTTGGTCAAGATGTTCAGTTCACAAAAATACACATTTAGGTAAAAAGTCAAGGTCAAAGGTCAAGGTCATTAGGTTCAAAGGTCAGGGTCAAATTTTACATCTTTTCACTGATGAACATTTTGTTATGACATTATGAAGCAAAGTTGATCAGAATTAAACAAGGAGTCAACTGACCAAAGGTCAGGGTCACTGTGTTAAGACGGGGCCCTTACTGACTTGTCAGTGTTCTAGTTTGTATCTATTTCCATGTATATATTTTTTCTTAATTGAGTAGTTTGGTTTACAAATTCAAGTCTTGGGAGCCATTATGTTAAAATCTGAAGTCATATAGATTGTAAAACGTAATATTAATCATTTAAAAGTAAGTAAGGTAAAAAAAAAAAAAGGCTTAGTAAAAACAAATGGTTTCATGGAACAGCTGAGTAAAAAATGGAAAAATTAAGGCAGTTCATGTGTTTTTCTTCGATTCTATTTTTTAAGCTTTATAGAGCAAATATCCTGTCTTGTGTAACTATTGTTGAAAACATGGCTTCAAAATGTGTTTAGTTACATGGCATAATGGTATAAAAGGTCTCACAAAACACCAGTATAGTATTTTTACCAATTACTTCCACTTAAAGAGTTCATTGACAGTGTGCTCTGCAAAGCAATAGTCAGTATATTTTTATTTCTTCATTGTGAGACTTGGATGAGTTCCGTAACCATCCTTAAAAGCTTAAGCGTTACCTGGGGATATATTGTCAAATCCTAGCATTAGAACGGGAAAAAAAAGACAGTTGCTGTTGTGTTTTAAACAGCCGATCTGATCTACATGTCACGGAACATTCCCACAGTGGAGGCGTGTTATTGGTTCACAGATGTAGATTTAAGCGTATACATACAACAATCGTCTTATTTTAAAACACTCTTGTGACAACGACTGCCTTACTTTTGTCTGGTTGAACAAGTGTTTTCCGTTTCAGGAAATGCATTGAAAGCTTAGAATTGTACCACCAGACTAAGTTAATACCCAACTTCATGTTTACACCAACGTTTATAGTAACGATCATTTCAATCACATCTAGGGGGTAGGAATTTCAGTTTATATTGTCAATTTTCAAGATGAGTAGGCAAATGATACAATGCCATTCTTGTCCAATTTACAGTTTCTGTTTGTTGTGTAAATATTTAGATATAACATTCAATTTTCATTTTTTTAAATAATATTATTTCATCTGAAATGTATAATGAAATACATAATGTACTCTCTACAATAGGGGAAACACCCTATTGTACTGTGGCTTTTGTCAGAGTAAAGATTGATATAAAAAGAAATTTTACATAAAGAGAAAAGTGATATTAAACAAAATGCCTGTTTAATGATCTCTTCAGAAATTGATGGCTTCGTATATAGAGAGTACAGGTGTTTATGGGGATGAAGAATGAGCTTGGATCTAAAATGTAGAATTGTAAAAGAATTATGATAATATATATACATGTACTGTTTTTCTAATGAATACAAAACCTGTATTGAAACAAAACTTTTAAAACAGAAATACTGTTAATGAGATTAAGAGTGGTAAGAACTTTGCTTACTGTAAAAACAAATCCAGATTTAAAAAAAAAAAAACCCAACCTTTCATCACAACTAACTGTAAAGCTAGGTCAGAAAAGACAGTGTTGCACCGACGCAATATTTTGAGATAAACCTGCAGGGTCATTACAAGAATATAGTCACCATAGACTTAACCTGTCCAACTCAAACCACTGTAAAGCTAAGAGTTCATCATTTCCTTGTATACAAACACAAAAAGGACTTTAAATTATGCATCTGAACTCAATACTTGTCAAAAATCTGCATCATAAATACAGTAAACAAATATGTTTTTATCTTTCTGTAAGAACTATACTTGCTCCTTTTTTTTCTTTCTCTTTGAAATAAATTAAGACCATTTCTAAATAAAACCATGGCCCTAGAGTGCAGTATAGAATATCAATCACGTTATGAATTTGCTATGTCAGATCTGCCAGATGAAATGTGGATGAAATGTTTAGCATGTAACTTGTGGGGTTAATGTAGATACCCGCTGAGGAAAAGACATTAAGAAGTAATTTAGCACTATGGCTTTCCATGCCATCCTCAACTTATCTAGATGTTTCTCTACATCCAGTAATTAGGAGCAAATTCCCAAAGTCCCACCTAGGAGAGAATACTCTGAATCTTAGCTAGAAAACCTCCCCAGGCAATCTCCTTTGGATGTATATTATCAGAGAAGATCACTCAGGTAGGGCCATTAACGTCACTAATGTATACTTGGCACTGATTGGTCAATAGCATTCTGCTCTGTAATTGGCTAGTTACAATTCGGAAGATATTTTGTGGAGTATCGTATTGTACCTATGGTATGCCCAGACAAGAAGCCCTTATTAAGGGGGACAAAATACACTTGGACATAATTCCCAAAGTAGACTGTATGGTAAATCTGTTTAGAGGGATGTTTTCATTGTGCATTTCAAGGAATTATGCAGCAATTTTGATTTATTGCCTATGTCATGTAAATTAACTGGGGAAACATGAAAATCAAGGCTGATAAAGGGAAATAACTCAATATGTACAACTCAGAATTTCCCATTTATATTGTCAATTTTCAAGATGAGTAGGCAAATGATACAATGCCATTCTTGTCCAATTTACAGTTTCTGTTTGTTGTGTAAATATTTAGATATAACATTCAATTTTCATTTTTAAAAACAATATTATTTCATCTGAAATGTATAATGAAATACGTGTACTCTCTATAATCTACAAATTCAAAAATCTTCTTTCAACATGTTACTTATATGCAGTACACAATA